TAATAGTCCACAACCACAGAAAACAGGCAATGCGGCACAGAATAATCAAAAGCAGCTTCATATTTTCTGGATAAAACAAAGCATCGTTTGTATTGAGGCATTTTTAGAAGGTACCACTAAAAACCAGACTGCAGCCTGGAATGGCTTAAAATACCAAGTTTAACAATCACATCGATGGCTTTTAAACTTTAGAGGCAAACAGCTTCCTTTTACTTCAAATTCAAAGTGAAGCATTAGATGCAAAGCTAACAGATTAATTCAGTGCACACACAGGCTTACAGACTATCCAGTGCCTTAATTAACACCATTACAAGTGTATTTAGCAAACCACCTGGGTTTTAATGATGGAAAGGTGAAGGCCAAATGTTTTTAATAAATTGCTTGAAACTAAGCTTCCCTGCTTAAAAAAAAAAAAACAAGCAGAAAGAAAAAGACTAATAAATAGTTATTATTTGGCATATTAAGGAACTGTTCCTTAGTCTCCATTTTAATTGAGATAGTACCACAATTAAAAGTTTACAGATTTTTGCTCTTCTCCTCATCTTGGGCCTAATTCCACAACTGAACAACTAGGAGAGGGAGAAAGAACACAACATTATGGGCTCAAGAATATCAAGAAGGCAGAAAAGGGGACACAGAGATGAAGAGGGACCAGCTCCCCCGTAGGGAAGGCAAGAGGGCTTGCCTGCTAAAACTTCAAAAGGGAGACCCAAATCTCCAAGTTCTAAAGAAAAAGCAAACACCATCCACTGTGAGCTGTGATTACATCACAGACATTAGATAAAACTATGTTTCATTTCTTGAAGAGAAAAAAAAAAAATCAAAGAACTAGCTGAGCCATTTACTTGCTGTGCGGAAGTAGTAGTTATTATCACGAACCATACTAGATATCTGTGCTTTGTTAGTTTTTGAAGGGGAGGAGACCTGAGCAGTATCTATAACTGAAGAATCTTCCAAGATGCACATGATGGTGGGAAGCAACATCCACCACACCCTATAGAAGGAAGCTAAGAAATCCCTATGCACTCTTGGTCACTCTTGCAGCTAGAACCCAGGTATGTGAACCAGGCTCAGCCTTTTACAAGCACCTACCTCACATGTTCTAATTTTTCTTGGATATTCTTTTTTTTAAGAGAGAGAGAGAAAGAGAGAGAGAGAATTTTTTAATATTCATTTCTCAGTTTTTGGCGGACACAACGTTTGTTTGTATGTGGTGCTGAGGATGGAACCCGGGCCACACGCATGCCAGGCGAGCGTGCCACTGCTTGAGCCACATCCCCAGCCCTTGGATATTCTTAAGTGTTTTTTTTTTTTTAGTTAAATTTTTATATGCATTTTCTGTTGTGTTAAAAAAATGACAGAACTTTTACAAAAGTAAAATACTCCGAATGACACTACAATGTCATTATATATTTTTCCAAACCCCATGAGTTGCTCAACACTGAGTAAACAACAATGTAACTACTGTCTTTGGGTGATAATATTCTGTCAGTGTGGTTTCATCAACTATAATATATGCACCACTCTGATGGGGGTGGTTGATACTAAGGGAGGTCATGTCTGTGTGGGGCAAATCTCAGTACCTTCCAATTTTGCTGTAAATCCTAAAACTGCACTTTTAAAAGAAGTTATTTAAAAACAAAAGATTGGGGGGCAGTGGGATAATAGATCAGTGGTAGAGCACTTTATTAGCATGTGTGAGACCCAAGGTTAATTCCCAAAGCCACACAAAAAAACAAAAACAAAGGTGGGATCTCATTGGAGATTAAATAGAATGTAAGATGATTTTGGAAAAAAAATAGTTGATTTAAAATAACGATATATTTACCTATTCAGAAATATGGTATGTCTTTCCTTTTATTCTTATTTTAAATAAGACTTTATCAATAAAGTTTTATCATTTGTTTCAACATAAAGTCTGTGCATTTCTTCTTAAAGTTTTGTTGCTACTGTAATATGGGACTTCGGTTTATTTTTTGAACAGTGGCAAGGTACCGAAAAGATGCCAACTTCCTATGTTCCTCTAGTATCCACTCTAAACTCTCATCAGCTCCAGATTTGATATCAGATATTTCCAATCTTAGAACTCAGTATTTAATTTTTAAATTAAGTAACAGTTTAATAATAGTAACATGAAAGTTTTCTGATAGGAAAGGTCAGTTAAAATAAACATGTGGCAGAAGGTTGTCAACCTCTCTGGAGAGCTTTAAAATCAAGAGAGTACCTCATATGCTTATTTTAGATCAAGGTCTTAGCATAAAAGAACAGGGAAAGGGGAGAAAAGAACCAGATGCCCTCATCTGGTTCTCCCTGCATTATGGTTTAATACTGATTTTTGATCACTTAGGTCTACTCAAGGTCAGGAGAAATACAGAGCTCACTTGGAACAGTGGGAACAAGGTGAATGTGTTTCCTGAAAAAAACATTTTAAAGTTTTTAATATTGCATTCTCCAACATGCCTCTATAGCCTCCAGAAAACATTTTTTGCCAGCTATAAGCATTTCCCAAGTTTAAAAAAAAAAAAGTACAATCATAAAAAGAGAATTTTGCTCTTTTTGGAGTTTAGTTTACTCAATGGCTTTCAACAGCTTTAAATCACACTGTCTATAATATTTCAAATATCCTTATAAAATATAACTTGAGTTTCAACACCTGCCAACATTTTACCAATACTTTAAAGTAGATACATAATTCTTTTTAGGTACAAGAGAAGAGCTGGGGGAATAACAACTTTTTGATGCTTCTGAAAAATATTTGGTTTCTTTTGAAGAATGCTAAATTTAACTCTATTTTTCCAAATTCGCAAAAAAAGTTCAACATAAAAGTACATATAGTAAAATATTGCCAGTGAAAAACTATAAAGGATGAAAAGCTTAACTCAATTTTTAGACATAATTTATACGATTATGAGTTCAAGCACAAAAGATTTTTCTTTTGTCTTTGCAACAAAGATTGGTTTAATTGGAAACAGTAGAGCAAAATTTTTCCATATTGAAGGAGAAATTATTACCCAAGTTTCAGAGCAGGCTTAGTAGATTAACCAGCTTTAATTTATAGAGAAATCTAGTTCTGATTTTTCTTAATATAATGAGCACTGGTACAGAACAACATACGAATGGTCAAATTTCAAATATTTTCCCCAGTCATCTTGTGACATAAGTTCATCAGGATTTAAAATCCAGTCTTTGTTCCCAACCTCACACAGCAAGATTCTAGTTAAGAGCAAACAGGCACATACCATACAGATGCTTTATGAGAAACGTTCCCATTGCTTTTCCAAGTTGGTTTACGTTAGTGAAAAAGCCATAGTGTGGGAATTATTATGAAGACAGGATTCAGAATAAGCAGTAGTTGCTCTTAAAGACCAAAGGGAGACATAAACCCAAGTCACATGCTCTAAAGCTGGAAAAGTTTCAAAGGCAAACTGTTCGCCGTCTGGCCTGTCTGAAAGGCACGAGTGCCTGAAGTCATTAATACTGCTATTTCCCATGAGCCCCGCACTGGTCAAAGAGGATGGTAGGTCTGTTTTGAAAGACTCCCTTACTGTGTAGGGAGTTTGGCCCTGAGTAAAAAACCTGCTGGTTGACAACTCCAGTCCAACAGACAGCTTAGGACCTAACTTCATGCTAGAAATTACAAAGGCTTCTAAAGAACAAAGTTTTAGAACTGGTGTCAGATGAGCCAACGCTTAAAAAAAAAAAAAAAAATTACCAGCTTTCAGGGAACTAATGAGAAAGACATTTTGGCCTTGACCCAGAAAAGGATGAATGTACCCCTGGACAGAAATGATGTGAACTAAAATTTCTCCATAGTAACAATTCTAATTAATTATTCAAAGCTAGGAGTTGATTTTCTAAGGTTATGAGCTAACTACAGTTTCCTGTTTATATCATTAAAATCTGGTTTCTTCTATTCTTTGTATCTGCTTACCCAAGCATTAAATGAGAAGCTTATAATGAAATCTTAACAGCAAACCTATAATAAAGGCTCTACTTTTAAGGTGAGTTTGCCATTTTGCAGACTTGGTTTAAGAGATAATTAGCAATAAATAGAAATTTTGTCTAGGTTCCACATAACCCAAACATTTATAAGACTATTTACTATCTTTTAGAAGAACAGAAACAACAGATATTAACAATATTCTCATAGGGCATTGTAAGATCTTTCAAATTGAAGAGTTAACCATAATTTGATGATGTTTCAGTAAAAAGTACTTACCTGTACTCTAACAGAAATCAAAACTGAAATGTTATTTGATATATAGTAACTCAAAAAATAAGCCATTCACCAATAAGACCAGATTAACATGAGTTTACAGAGTAAAATACAACATTTCAGTGTAGCCGATTCCTGCCCACAGACTTGTACAAAACAAGCAGACATCACACAATTTTTCTATCAAGAGAAATAGAGCATAACACTGAGTGGTCACCAGAATAACCTTGAAGACATCACTCAGCATGTAATGCCATTAGGATCACAATGACCACACATGCACCAGTACTCTATGGACAGGAAAGAAACCCAAGCCAAATTAAGCAGCTCTTCTCAAAAGGAAAACTAGCAGTCCTGCAGTAAGTGGAAGTACACCTGTTAGGAGTAAAATCTGATACTCAAAAAGATGAGACTCAGTCAGCCAACAAACAGTTGGTCAAACATACAAAATGCAACTGCATGTGGAACATGGGAAAGAGCTTTCTAGAAATCAAATCCCTTAATATCTTTAACTCTGACTGCCTCTGGATCTGAATGACCTGCTAAAATGATGAACATTTAAAGACTTCTGAGGGGGAGGATTTGGTTCATAACCCAAATTCAATTTTTCAAAGTCCCACCTTTCACAAGAAAGTTCGGGCATATATTGATTTTCTCATAGCCACCAGGATGCTGTTTGTTCTAACCCTGTCTGACCCACTCCCCAGAGAAGCATCCACCCGGCCTGAGCCAAGCTTCCCAACACTGCCCACGGTGCTTGCCCAACCCATTCCTAAACACATACCCGTTTCCTTCTTGTTTCCCTTTCCGCCCTCTCGGCTCTTCTTCAGCACAGCCTTTAACATTTTCAACACTCTTTGGTCTCTGAGGAGAAAAGGAGGGGAGAGGAGTTAAAGGTTGGAAAAGATGGAATACAACTTGTGAACTGACATTAAGTGGTAACCTGTGTTTATACAGATCACTTAGATAATACAAAAGCACCTATAGTTTTATCAGATTCCTGTTAACAAACTGGTGGGAAACTAAATATGAAGACACAAGAAATGTTTAACGACTTTTAATGAAGTGATCAGAAGTTTACTGTCTTGTATATAAGTTACAAAAAACACACTAGTGCCTTCTCAGCATTCCACATCTAATTAAGGTTCTGAGGCTAAACCTGGGTACACTACTATAAGATATCTGGCGTGGTAATACCATCTTCCAACCTTAGTTCATCAAAAGAAGGAAATGTCAGAAGACAAAGTCAAAAAGATAATCGTTCATAAGGATGCTACGTGGCCTAAGGTAATGTTTTACATGTACTACTCACTAAATAATCACAAGGAAAACATTTTGAAAAGTTATCGAAATGGAATAATAAGCATTTGTAGAACAAATACAGGGGGAGCACAAATATTAAGGGGACCACATTTTAACCCTAGTGTTAGGCAACATGTCTAAACAGCACACACTCCTGTACGTTTTTACTATATATAATTAAGACTTTGGGATGGGAAAGGAAGGCGTGTAGAAGGGGCTGTGGCATTATGATCAAATTCTTTATCAGAATGAGCTGTATTTTTAAGCAGGGCTTTCCTGGGCTTATAAACACAACACAATAGCCTAGGCCTGAGATGAAACAGGAAACCATCCCTACAGCAAGAGGCAGACAATAAGACTATTATTTCATCATGAAGCTAATGTCCTTCAGCTCTCTCTTCACTCACTAACTCAGATGATGGCTGGACAACCCCAAACACTAGCAAATCCTGTGGGTCATGTTACCATCACAACTTTGCTGATGCACTAAGTGAGGAAAGTAGAAGGCAATCAGATGGCTCTTGAACAGCTGGGGGAGTGGAGGCAGGGAGGAGCTAAGTAGAAAAAGTCTCCTGAACCTGCCTAGCTAACTTGAATGCTTTAAAAGGCCTCAGTAATACCCCCTTCCACCTCTCAACTCCTGGAGGAAAGCAGAGGTTTTGTGAGGTTCCACTGAGAAGGATAAGGAGCCCCAGTGTGCTGCCATTCACAGAACCACACAACATAAGCAAGCAGAGTGACCTTTTTTATCATTTAGTCCAGGCTTGTATTTATTTTTCCAAGTGCTTTGTTTTATCGATGAAGAAACAGAGACCCTGGGAGGCTGACTTGCCCAGGGGTCACTCAGCTAATTAACAGCAGGGCCAGAATCCAAATCTGCAGAGGCCCAGCACGGGTTTGCCTTCCTCTGCTCAGCTGGCTGGCTGGTTGGCTGGCTGGACTCTCCTCTCAGATCAATAAAAGCTTTGGGCAAACACACAAACAAAACTGAGGGATACTAGGAAGATAATATCCTAGGGAGAATTTGGAAAAAACCATAGTGGTTATTAGGGTTAAATAATCTTACAAACAAGTCTACACACAAAAAGAGGGTGGCTCATAGCCTAATTCTGTTTTTTTAAATGCTATTTAAATGGGTCCTAGTGAAAAGACCTAGGTTTCAATAAAGGGCCAACAATGAATCTGGAAGAGGGCATGTATGCTTCCATACAGGGCACCTGTGGCAAAACAAACTTTTCCTGCTTTAAACAAACATGCAAAATGTTGTAGTATAAAAAAAGACAGGAGAAATTAAACACATAATGCCTAATACACAGACATTTTCTTTTTGTAAATCAACCAACCTTCAGGGTTTGTAATAAGCAAAGACTACAGGCTTAAAAAAGAAAAATACCGACAGCCATGCCATCAAGGCTTCTCCACAGCCCCTTGTACAACCTGTGGTGACTCTTCCAGAGGCCTGTATTTACCTGGATGTCTGACCAGCTAAGCCCCATCATGTCCATGAAGCTGCCCGATTCATCACCCAGTCATTACCAATTTGCAGCAGATCTAACCTGTCACTCAGAACATCCATGCCACATAGCAAGGACAAGGTGACACTGACTTTGGTGTCTCGTTCCAGACAACTTGCTTGCTGATTTGGAGCATGTGAACTGTTTTCAAGATAGTCACATCTTCCACATCTGTGGTCTTGAGGTAAATGAAAAAGGATATGAAATATCTGATTTTTTTTCTTCCAGTTCCTGCTTTCCTCTATAAATAGCAACTCTGGGGAAAGAGCTTGAATTGTATTCTAAAAGTGCTCAGTTACCTAGAGAAACTCACGGATTATACCTAGTGCAAAAGCAAGGACCCTAATACCACTACAACATGTACACGTGCACTTACACAAACACACACATGGGAAAGGAAAAAATAAGACTTCCCAGAAAGTTCAGTTCTGAAATTAGCAAAGATCCACATGGAGCTATTCAAAGTCATTTGGAAGTCCCAATACTCCTGGTCTAGCATCCATAACTGGAACCTGATATTTATGAACAGATCTAAAGATTGTGCCCATCTGAAAGGGAATGGTCAGAAAGAGCAGCTGTAAAAAAAAAAAAAAAGCTAGAGAGGCCAACACTGTATATTCCAGAGAAGACTATCTAGCACACCCAACAGCATCTATGAACTTATGAACATACACCCCACAGAGTTCTGGAAATGGATGCAGTGCAATATCAGAGCCAGATACTCTTAAACATTGGTGAGACACAACTACTTCCCCTTGTTCTGACTCTGTATTTTGGTTCCTTTCTTAAGCTGCCAACAGTGGGGAGAGAGTGTATTGGTCCAGTCACTACAACTGTGTGACCTGTGCTAAGATTCAGGGCATAAATTAATAAACCGGTACTCTGGCTTTAAACAAAAGCTTTCGTGAGCTTTGTCAAAGGGAGTCACTTTGCCAACTCCCATCCATTTAAGACATTCAGAATACTGAGTTTATGACCGCAGTTAGGAGACCAAAAATAAGACAAAGGTAAATTCTTCAGTGGCAATGCCACCATGAAGCAGACCTGTGATGGCAGCCAGCAAGGGCTCCCTAAATACACCCTCTGCTTTCTCTCACACTTCCCTTCTAACAGTTAACTTCAACTACTGTCACTTTTCCCCTGAAAAGGTCAACGCTGACCTGTCATGAACAAGAACAAAAACAAGAATGATGTAAACCAGCCTTCCAGACACAGTCATTCAGACCCAGCTGATTACAGCCCCACACATCGAACAGAAACTGCCAGAAGCTATCAGGTTGCTACTGGAGAACCACGCAGATGGTGAGAAAGAACTCGGGACAGTACTGAGGAAAGTACTTAGGCCTGTTTAGATTCTTCCTGGCCTCTTGGTACAGGGCAGGACTCCTTGGAATGAAGATCTTATGACCTACTTTCAGGCAAGAAAGTAAAAACCTCCTTTATGACAATGCTCAGGGGAAAGGGCAGGAGGAATCAGGGAGATCTTCTTGCTTTTTCAGCTCTCAACTGGTAAAGGGCTGTATTTTTAGGCTATGAAGTTATGAGTTCCAATAAGAAGAAAGGTCAACCTCTAGGTTATTGCAACTGAAATAAACTAGAGGAAAATTTCCTATGAAGTTCATTTAAAAGAAAATAAAAGACAGGTATGATGGCACTTGCCTATACTCCCAGAGAGTGAAGCAGGAGGGCTGCAAGCTATAGGCCAGCCTCAGCAATTTAGGGAGATCTTGTATCAAAATAAAATAAAAAGGGATGAAGAGGTATCTCAGTGGTAAGCCTCTCTGGGTTCAATCCCCAGTACCACTGGTGGATGAGGGGGTTTTAATATGACATTACCCCTGGAAGGCTAATGACTTGAAGTCAACTAAATGCCCTTATTTTCTATTATCACTCCCCATCTCTTTTTCCCAGATGCCACAGACTCTTCCTCTTAAAACCTCCAAAAGTTAAATAGACCCAGTAAAAGCTTACTTTCACTTCTGATATTTTTCCTTTAGCATATCAAGTTTTGGGGAAAGGGTACCACATCTCTGTCATGTGTCAGAATGCTGCACAGCATATTACATTAGCATCTAAATTGTAACTAAAATCACCCCAGGTAAAAATGACAAGATAATTTCAAAACACAACACAATCTACCTAAGTTTACCATCACAATGGCAAATATCATAGCTTGTCTGAAATCAGAGAATAGCACTAGCATTAAGATTCTCCTTTTTGTGAGTGCCATACTACCACTGCCTATCTACACAATTTCAAGTCCAAGTTCAGAGCTGAGGACACTGACTATCTTTATTCTTTAATACATACAAACAGAAGCCATAACACAGGCTTTGCACATACTGTGTTCTTAATATTTGTTGACAGATTTAACCAGGCTGCGATGAACACAGATGAGAGATTTCCTCCTGAATCAAGCAGTCAACCAACATTTACAGCACTTTATAATGGACAGAGAACATTCCTATATATTCTCATTCACCAGGAATGCAAGTAAACTCAGTTAAATCCAAAGTGACATCAGGGAATCAAATATGAGGGAAGATAAATGCTGCATTTCATAATATCCCTTCCTAACCACACCTAAAATAACTTTAAAAAAAATCAGACCAGTTATCCCAAATACCTAACTCTTATACTTTTTAAGAACCATCTCCCATCAAACCATTCATTGGCCTTAGATCAAAATCCTGAAGATGCTTTTATTTAACTAAATAAAGCCATAGTAGCAATATTTATAAGTGAAACCCTGAAAATTATGTTGCATAAAAGTATTAAGAACTATTTTTTACATCCTTAATGTTAATCGTTCATAAGTTTTCTTTAAACCTAGTTAACTTATCTAGTTGTAAGCATGTCTTCTACAGGACTGCTTTTAGAACTTTGTATTAGCAATATCCATTGTTTACCAAAAGAAAGGAAATGGGTGGTGGCAGTAGGTCTGTAGCAGCCTACAAGATAAATAATACAGAATAGAGCAAATAAGAGAAAACAAAGCCAAATACAGAACACAAAAGGGGGCGAGGGGACACCCCGACTGTTGGCTGA